TACAATTTTCTTGAGAATGTTTCAAGGAATTATTACAGAAATAAAATAAAATAAAAATATCCGGTCCCCAAAACAGTTTTACATGTTCACTGAATATGATAATATAATCCCTTCATTTTGTTTTTATTTCCAACAAAGATTTGAAATACCTAGACAGTTTCTCTGGTGACCAAAACCAACAATCCACCATTATATATATATATATATCAGTCTCACTGTGAAGACTGTAGCCCACTGAAATGTGGAATTTTCTTGAGAACTTTTCAGTGAATTAATACAAAAATATTTTTTTAAAAAAATAATAATTATCAGTCCTCCAGAATGAGACAATATCTAATGACATTTGTTTTATGAATTGTGGGAAGATTTTCCGTGATTTGGGTCTCCAGCTGGGAAGCAGACCTTCGGCTCAGGCGGAAGAAATGACACAGAATGAAGCAAGCTGCCAGAAAGTAGGTTTATTTACAGAAACCAGATGGAGTAATGGTACAGGGATGGTTTCTGCACTAGCTAGTAGTTTCCCAAGGTGAGGGGTCCTGTTCTTACACCCCTCAAGTTATTGAGATTATGATTTGGCTTTTGAAAAAAAATGTTCATTTAATTCCATTAGTTTGTGTCTGTTTGGACCGGTAGCGATTAATATTGTCCTTGGGAAGTATTTCTTTGTTCATGCAAATGTGTTTCTCTGTATGGTTTATGTCTGTCTTGTTAGTGTTACAAAAGTTCTACCTAGTGAGGTTGATGGGTTTAATTGTTTTCTAAGACGCGTGTCTGCGGTTTTCCTGTCCTCAGAATGTTTTTTTTAGTTTGACAGTTTGCCCAGAATTGCTCAAGGCGGGGAAGGAAGAATGAGAGACGGGAAAAAAAAAACCTTTTCTTTGGTCTTTTAAATTTGGTTTGGCTTATCCCTTAAATGGTTCTTTTCCTGAGGTGTACCCCATCCTTCCTGGGTTCATCTACATCTGTGCTGGCAGGTTTATGGGTCTGGGTTTCCTTTGTAATATTTAATT